AGGATTTAATAAAAATCAGACACTTAGAAGCGAATTATACCCAATTTATAAAGATTTTTCATTGCTTGAGTTATGTTGTTACTACGGAGCAGTTGATTGTTTCAAGTTTTTAAGAACAAAATTTAACTCACAAACAACTCCAAATTGTATATATTTATCGTTTTTGGGAGGAAATCCAGAGATAATGAGTGAATGTTTGAAATTAGCACAAATTCCAGATCTCATTAGTTATGGTAAACTCTGGCTGAGTCAATCAATGATGCATGCAATTATTTCTCATAACATTGATTTTGTTACATTCTTGATGAATGAACACAATATAGAGATCAATTTATACTGGTGCGGATCATATAAAAATCTTGAATCATTTTTAGTTTATTTCGATCAAACAAATGATATTAACGCATGCTTTGTTTTTTCAACAATGTTTGATATAGGGTGTCCAAAGGTGCGTTTAGCACAGCGCTCTATATGAGACTATTAAAGGAGATATATGCTGATTATAAATATATAATAAAAAATATGAATATATGTATATGATGAGTAAGTTGTATTTTGGCTCCATGCCGGGATATAAAATGAATTTTGAGACAAGAGGCGGTTTCGCGGGAAATTTTGGCGGGATTTTTTTCATTTTTTTAATGAATCATAAAGAAAACATCCTCGCTCTTGCAAAAAAATGCAAAGACTGTAAAAAAATCTACGAGACATTGGTAAAATGCTTCGGTATGGATTCTCCTAGCTATTCCACTGTAACGTATCATGTTAGGATGTATCACTTCATGAACAAAAAGGCGCCCATCATAAAAATTGACAAAAAATCGCCGGATCAAAGAAAAATCAAAGCAATTCTTCAAGCGCTAGATGAAGACCCAAGAGCATCACTCAGAAGGATAGAGGAGATGACAAAGATACCACGTACAACAGTCAGTTATTATCTGCACAATTATTTGAACTACAAACTAGCGTATACACGTTGGGTTCCGCACAACCTTAATTCAGTTCAAAAAAAATCTAGAGTCCAATCTTCGAAAGAGCTCCTCTCTATATTGGGTGCGTATCAATCCAAGAAGTTTCGCTTTTTAGTAACAGGGGACGAGTCTTGGTTTCAATATGCAACAGAAGCCAAAATCATTTGGATCCCGAAGGATGAAAATCCGCAAACATTCCCGAAGAAAAAAATTGACACACCAATGATGATGTTGTCGGTTTTTTGGGGTGTGAATGGCATCATCGCAATTGATATTCTTCAAAAACCTAATACGATGAATGCTCAGTATCTAATTGACAATGTTCTTACTCAAATTATCAATTCTGATGAGTTTGAGAAATCCAAACAACAAAAACAAAAGTTTGCAATTCATTTTGATAATTCAAGAGTTCACAAAAGTCATAAGGTAATGAATTACTTGGTGGAAAACAATGTCAAAGTTGTTCCAAACCCAATTTATTCACCTGATATTGCACCCTCTGACTTTTATTTATTCGGCACGCTAAAAAAGAGAGCTGAAGGACGCGAATTCGCGAGTCCAGATGATCTTGAAAATTTTGTAAGAGAGCAATTTGAGCAATTTTCTCATGATGATTTAAAGCGTGTCTTTCAAGCCTGGATCGATCGCTGCGAACGCGTGATTGAATCCAATGGTGATTATATTTAAATAAACTTTATATATATGTAACTTGTTTATTTCTATTCGCAGTATTCAGGTTTGTGCTAAACACACCTTTGGACACCCTATATTCTATCTCTTTGCGAATATTTCCTATCACTTGGTGCAGATGTCAAAGCAAAAGTTGAAAACGGTCAAACAGCTCTTCATGAAGCAACATTTTGCAATAGTAAAGAAATAGCCGAACTTCTTATTTCACATGGTGCAAATATCAATGAAAAAGATAATGATGGAAAAACCGCTCTTCATTATGCAGCAGAAAATAATTGTAAAGAAACTGCCGAACTTCTGATTTCACATGGTATAAATATCAATGAAAAAGATATATATGAAGAAACTGCTCTTCATATTGCAGCCAAATACGAATATAAAGAAATAGCAGAACTTCTGATTTCACATGGTATAAATATCAATGAAAAAGATATATATGAAGAAACTGCTCTTCATATTGCAGCCAAATACGAATATAAAGAAATAGCAGAACTTCTGATTTCACATGGTGCAAATAACAATGATGAAGATGGGGAATATTCTTTATCTACAGATAATATTGTTGAATAAATGCAATAATCGAGAAAATGATTTATGAAGTTCAAAATGAGTTGCATATTACTGCATCATACTTTGAATTCAAACGGTATATAGCAAAGATAAGTGTATTTTCAGATAATACAATAAATTAAGCATTTTTTTAAAAATATATCTATTTGTGATTTTCCACAGATCTAAAGATTGGTATATATTTTGATTTTATCTATTGACATATTTATCGAATCTATATAGCAATAGCTTATAGAATTAAATTCTATGAAATTCAAACACAAAAAAAATTTAAAAGAAATCTAATTCAGAAAGTATATGAGGACCTCAGGTAGCTACGCTTTGGGCAATCATACTACCTTCTGCAAAATAAATATATATTGATTATATAGTCATATATTTGGAAAAGCATATATAATGAATTCCGATTCTCAATGCACTATAGTAAATAAGCAATAAGTGCATTCTTAGTTCTTTTGTTGGCTCTATGCAACAACCAAATAGCGAATGGTAATAATATATGTTTACTTATGTCCATATAACATGACATCCAATTCTATTGTTTGGCATGAAGTAGTTTATACCCGTATTACATCCAATGCCATAATAGCTTATCCAAATCTATACGAAATTTCAAGAAAAGTAAAATACAATATTTCTTAATTTGTCTTCTCTTTTGTGATAATTTTAATATTGTTGCATGCTAAGTTCGGTCAAAATGTAAACCTCTCAATTTTATCGTCGGGGGAAGTAACTCAATTCCTTCAAAATTATTCTTTAAATATTGAATTTAAAGTTATTTAATTTGGATTATAAATAAATAGGCTAATACAATATTTAAAAATGAGAAAAAATAACTTTTCAAAGAACTTTTCATAATCTCAAAGAAAATTTTTTATTCAATAATTATATAAATTAATTAACATTCATAATGAAATTGGATTTTTTTTATAAAAAATTGGTCCTACTTAACTTTTTGAGAGAATTTGGCTTTCTCGTAAACGAAAAAGGGATTTGACGGAGTCAAATCCCCGCTCACAAAAAGTGGACTTTACATGTCAAATTTTATATGCATGTAATGTCCACTTTTATGAGTTTTAGGAAGGAATTGGAAGCCATGAGTTACTGACATTGCATCAGTATCTCATAGCCTCCAATTCCTTCAAAAAATGGGAGAAACTTTGTCCGAATAGTTTAACATTCGGACAAAGTTTCTCCCATTTTAAGAAGGAATTGGAGGCTATGAGATATACCATATGAATGTATATCTCTTACCCTCCAATTCCTTCTAGAAAGTGTCCAAACTTTGGGTTAATTGCAAAGTATTAACCCAAAGTTTGGACACTTTCAAGTGGAGATGGAAGGCTTTGGGGTATATATTAATACAATATACCTCAAAGCCTTCCATCTCCACTACAAATGGGAGAAACTTTGTCAGAATAGTTTAACATTCGGACAAAGTTTCTCCCATCTTTCAATGTAATTGCTACCTGTGAGGTACTGACTTGAAGTCAGTGCTTCACAGGTAGCAATATCCAAAAATTTAAAAACATTTTATCAGTTCGTTAGAGAACTAGAGCCTCCTAGGTACTGAACCAGAATCAGTGCCTAGGGGACTCTAGTGATCTATATAAATCTGAGAAACTTTGAGGAAATTGTTCGACATTTCCTCAAAGTTTCTCAGCAATTTAGCGAGGAATGTTCGTTATCGTGTAGATATTTATAATATATACATAATAACAAACATTCCCCGCTAAAAGATGTAAAATCTTATAAGAAATAATTGCAAAAGAATAACAAATTGCAACAAATTTTATATGAAACTGAACCTTATGAGGTAGTGATTCAAGATCACCGCCTCATAAGATTCAGTTTCAATCTCAAGTATCTCAAAAGTAAGGCTCTATTTTTTGCCATGTAAAGTGTCACTTTTTCTGTCCAAATGATAAGTTATTCAGAGAAAGTTTCCCAGCTATCAAGAGGGAATTGTTCCTTATGAGGTATATATTCATACTGTATACCTCATAAGGAACAATTCCCTCCTTAAAACGAGAAAACTTGTTCGAAATTGTTTATCATTTCGAACAAGTTTTCTCGTTTTTAATAAGAAACTAAAGGCTATGAGGCACTGATTATATATTAGTGCCTCACAGCCTTTAGTTTCTAATAGATAGCTGGGAAACTTTCTCCAAATGATAAGTTATTCAGAGAAAGTTTCCCAGCTATCAAGAGGGAATTGTTCCTTATGAGGTATATAGTTATAATGTATACCTCATAAGGAACAATTCCCTCATTAAAATCGTAGATATTTTTTACTTATTACTCATGCTTTCAAAATCACAATCCTCTGAAAAGTTATTTTTTATTAAGAATTTAGAATTTTGATAAATACCTTTTTTCAATTTGATATAATACTTATATATTTTCAAAAAGACATTTTGAAAAGATATCTCAAAAGTTCTCTGAAAACCTATTTTTGATTAATTTTGAGAAATATCCGTATTAAATTAATCAATAAATTCATTCAACACTACTTTAATTTTTAAATTCAAAAAATTATATGTGCTTCTTAAAATGTCTCACAAAAATTTTATTATAAAATTATATACAATATTAAAAATCCCACAACATTTTTACTTTACATAATCGTACTTCCTCGACGATTAATTTCCCCTCAATTCCTATCGTTGACTGAACTTAGCATGCAACAATATTACGGTAGAAAGGCAATTGTGCAGAATTTTTAGGCGCTTGATTTTCAAAAAATTGTCACTTTTTATCCTTCAAAAGATGCAGTACATCGACTTCAAGGAAATCTTGAAGGAACGGTTCAAAGCATGCATCTATGTTTATGTGGAGCCTGGAATAGAGAAATTATATCCGAATTTGATCCCAAATTTCAAAAATACCTGGAAAAAAATCGAAAATCTAGGAACATACCCTTTTAATTACAGATTAGTATATATGGAACCTGATGTTACTTCAGATGAAATGAAAACAACCATTAATGATCTTTCTTTTGTCATCTCTGACCCATCTGCTGTTACAGACCCTCCAGAACTGCCATGGTTTCGTTATTGGGTTAAACTGTTCTTCGACCGTGATAAACTTCCGCCATTTCTCTTCCTTGACATTCCTGTCTGCATAATTTATTTAAGTACTGTCAACCAAAGATTACAGATACAATTTCCTCAATGGGCAGCCAATTACACAACAAACATCATGCAATGCAATATAGTTGTCAATCCTCAATTACAAAAGTCGAATACTTTTTATCAATGCAATGACGACACAGCAGGAGCTCTTTACGATCACATTCTTAATATCACACACTTCAAAGCACCACAGGTACTCAGAGATATGAAAGAATCGATTACGAAATATGTTGATGAAAATTGGCATGGATTCAGCAATTCTTTTCGTCGTTTGCTTGGCTTTGGCGGTAAAGTATCACGCGAGCAACTAATTATTACATTAAAACAACTCGGCGACGTTTGTTTGTCAATGCAAGATTTTGATAGCGCTTCTAAGTACTACCAGCAGCTCTACCAAGAGCTCATCGAATCAGATCCAAAAGTAGAAGACAGTCTCCTCATTACCATGGCCGTAACTTCACTTTTATCCACTGATGAATTAAATTTACGAGATTTCTTTTTGACACTTTACAAAAACGGGACACCGACCTTCCAGTTCTATCAGTCCATGTTTATCATGTGTTACTACTGCGCGACACACAACGATCTCATGATTTCTTGGAAGATTTTAATGAGAATTGTAAAATCGATCATTCGCAGCGACAATCCATTCAAAGATGTTGCTTATCCATTGCTATTCGAAGCCGCGTACTTCTCACAGAAGACAATGAAAGGAATCATTGTTCTTTACCGTACTGCAAACTCATATATGAAAATGAATTTGAGACAAAACGAAAAAATCTGTTTATGGCGGATTTACCACAAAATCAAAGGCACCGGCTGGCCAAATCTCGAAGAATTCATTCTAATGAGAATAGCTGCAACAGATGATGTACCTTTCGAACTCCAGAACGTCCTCCAAAATAGAAATATTAATTTCATTAATGATCTTGTCACTTTTTTGAAAAAATTAGAACTCGAACAGTCAGTTCCAATCGGATCATTGAGTGTCCACAACCTATGTGTACAGCCAACAGGGTTCCCAATGAGTCCTCCTCCGCTAGGAATAAGTTCAGAAACATGGAATCACTTGAGAAAAAAGTTATTCCCTGTTGTTGCACAAAGTTCTACGGATAAGTTCGTTGCTTCCGCTTGGGGAAGTGATGCTTTGGAGAGTATATCAATAGGTGTTGGTGAATACGCAAAGATTTCATTCGTTTTGCAGCCAAATAATAAAAATTCTTGCAACGCTTCAAACCTGTCACTTTTGGTCGAAGGTGATGCCAGTGCGGAAAGTGAAATAATTGAAAATGTTGATATACAAAAATCAACATCTATAAAAATGAAATTAAAACCAACAAAAAGTGGAGTTATCATTGTAAGAGGTGTCACGTTTTTGTGGAATGGCGTGGCCCCTGTTTTTGCTGCTTTTAACGAGCCCCTGAAGTTCGACAGCATCAAAGAACCGCCGCTCGTGGAGATATCATCGTCAGCAAGCAGGAAAGATACCTTCCCGAACCATCCTGTCTTTATTAAATTAAAGACCATCACAAAAGTCGGTCGCCTTACAAGCTTGCATGTCGTTACGCATTCATCAAGCGATATTGAGATGATTGAACCTCAAGAGATGAAAGGAAACAGATACTCTTTAGATTCTCAAGCTCCTGAAACAGAATCTGAATACAAAGTATGTGTAAATGCAGTAGGAAAGTTCACCGTTGACTTCCTTGTATCTTACACTTCCGAAAACCACGTTGTAAGGTTCGCACACTGCAAACAAGAAATAATTTGCAATGAATTCCCACCATTAAAGGCTATTTCAGGAAATGACACAATATTACTTCGAAGCGATGTCAAGATCGAAGAAATGCACTCAAATGCCTTCGAATTACAAAGATCAGGAGATATCGTCAAGATATTAAATCCAAAATCGATTGAAAAGAAGGCACACTCTGAACTAGCAGTTAAGAGAACTATATCTGGTATCGAAACGAACAACAGCGTTAAAATTCCAGATTTATTTGCAAGATTTTATGTTCATAGCGAAATTTCAACGCAAGTTTATCCATTTTACGTTGATATGACATTAGAAATCGTATCTCCACATAATACAACTCATAATGTTCATTTGAAACAACCAAATGAAAGAAATTTCTTTTTCATCGGGAAAACTCACTTTTCTTTCGATGGAATGTCTAATAAAGTTGATCTCAAGATACTTGTGATAAGGCCATTCACTGCAGATATCGGAGAACTCCTTAATGTTGATGGAATTTCTCGATTCCACAAAATCTTATCTGTTAAGTGATAATATGTATCTTTATATTTATTTTGTGATTCTTATATGGTAAAATGATGTATATATTTCTTTTATTTTTCGTTTTTATATATTTTTTCTATTAACCTCATTGAAATGAAATGTAATCGAATGAAATAATCTATTATAATACTAAAATATGTATATTTTTAACAAAATTCTTGTATATTTCTCGACTTTTCCCTCCATTCTATAAATTGAAGATCTGAAAGATTGATTTTTAAGATGAAACTGAAACATCTTCTATTGGATTGCCCTTACTTGCTGCTTTTGTAAGCGAGGTCTTGACGAGTTCAGTCTCGTGTGATGGAGTTCGAAGTGTATCATCGCTTGTCGGTCTGTTTTCTGGATTATATGGCTCCGGAAGCTCTGAGAGAACTCTTCCTTTTCCATTTTGTGCATTCTCGCTGTCTACTTCAACACACATTTTTATTGGCTTTTTTGAAAAATTATATAATTGAAATAAAAATTGATGAGATAAAAGAAAATTGTGGCAAAAAAATTTGACGGCCATCCTATGAAAAAGCAATGCATGACGTATGATATTTTATTTTTGAGAATATTATTTTCAAGGTTCAAGGTTACTGTCGAATTTACATGAACATGGGTTTTTATTAATTGAAAAGGTTTTTTCCATACTCATATAGCGATTGACTATAAATGATTTCGATTATCAATCGAATTTTGATTTATGCCTCGAAATTCGAAATCGTTTACTTCAAAGTCAGCTATTTAATGCTTTATATTTCAATAATAACTGTTTGTAAACAAGTCATTATGAAAATTGATGTATTATATAGAAAACGACAAGAATTTTCTTCACAAGTCCTGAAGCTTGATAACTTTCATATTCACACTGTAATGGCAGGAGTTCAAGCTAAATAATGCAATAGAAGTATGATCAAAGTAAGAGTAGCAATGAAGTAAGGATCTCGGTTGATACTCTTAATTTGAGCTATGAGACTTTGAAATTTGAATCCTCACGACACTTTTTAATTATTTCTGGTGCACAATGGAGTACAGTTTATCCTATATCTTATTGACAAATGGGAGATGTAATCAAACATTTGAAATCATTACTCATCTTAGAAAAATTCTGGGCACGGAACAATCTCAATCACACTATTTGAGTTTATATATTTCGATTAGGTAATCTGACTATAAATATTTTATATACCATATAAGTTAATATTAATTCTAAACACACTGCTCTTAATTTCATGAATTATTTACCAAAAATATTTTTATCAGAAACTGTTCCAGACAAATATCAACGTTTTTAAATGTGATCTAGAAGATATTCCTTTTGTTTTGTCTTCTGATATGAACATCAAAGATATTAAATAAATTTCTTATTAAAGCATTGTTGAAGAATAATCAATAATATCTTTGATGAAAAAGCTCTATGGTAAATTCTGTACAATGATTTCTTTCCATAATCATGTTATCAAATATTTCTGAAATTCTCATGATTCTGGAAAAATAATATTTGATTTTTGATGAATGATATATCAGATATGTGTGTGAAATTTTTTTAGTTTTTTGATGCTACTATTTTTGATTCACCATAGATAACAGTCTTCTTTGAAGATAGATTTCGACATGTTTACGATTACCCTTGCTCAAACGAATTGCATGCATGCCACCCTACCAAGGTTATTCTTTCTCCAGGAAGCTACCTCTTCGAACTTTGGGGAGCCAGCGGAGGCAATGTATCAACTGCCATGGGTGGCCTTGGAGCATACACGTCTGGTGTTATAAGACTCCTCCGCACACAAACTTTCTATTTGTTCATAGGTTCACATGGTGCACAAAGTGACAACCTCAATCCATATAATGGAGGTGGTTCCGGTGTGAATACTGTATACTCATCCAGTGGTGGTGGATGCAGTGATATCCGACTGAAGAACGGCACCGATTTCGAATCCCGAAAGTCCAGAATCATTGTCAGTTCTGGAGGTGCTGGTGGTGTTATATATGAACAACGGCAAGCCAATGGAGGCAGCGGTGGAATATCTTCCGGATATAATGGAAGCAAGACATCCGGTGGGAGCCCAGACACAATATCTATCCCAGAAGGAGGGCAAATCAACAGGGGTGGGATTGCTTCCACCGGAGTCCACTTGGGAGATGGTAAAATATCGCATGGTCTTCCGGGCAAATTTGGGAAAGGTGGTGATGTTAGATCTAATGGAGTTTATGGCTCCGGTGGAGGCTGCGGATACTTCGGCGGAGGAGCTGGAGATGATGGCACCGGTGTTGTTACATCTGGTGCAGGTGGGTCGTCCTATGTGTCTGGATATAAAGGATTTATGACGATCGATGAATCATCATATTCAAAATCTCAATACCAAATGAGAGATTCTCCTTTCCATCCGAGTGGGCTTTATTTTGTTAATGTTGCTGTTAAAGACTACAAGAGCGAATTCGACTCACCATACGGCTACAAAGAATATGGGCATACAGGCCATGGAGCAATTGCCATCACTCTTCTCAATACTGTTCTATTTACATGCAACTCTTTCTACTCTTTCCAACATTTTTCCTGCTTTATTTTTATTTTATTAATCAAATAAACAATGACTATACAAAGTTTGGTCTAAAATGTTGACTTTGTATATTCACGACTTTTTTTAATCGAAATAATGAATGCCCAGATTTCGTGTAATCACTGTGCAACTCTATTTGACTTCATTACAAAGTGATGTCTTCCAATCGCAATCTTGAAAAATTACGGAAATTATTGATTGATAAATGTATCATTCCGTTCTTTTTAGCAAATATATCATAAATTAATCAGTATATAGATGATTTGAACTAAGATTTGTGCATTGAAATTGAGCTTTTTGCAAAGATTAAGTTATTTCAAATAAAAAGAGGACACAAGAAGAAATTAATAAAAACGCAGTAATCTACAGAAAAGTTTTATGATAGAAAGAAATAATAAACCGATAATATATATATAAAAATAATATAATAAGTTAATTCTCCTTTTCTTCGAGCAAAGGAGTGTTGTTGAGACCCTTTGGCTTCTCACCTGGAACGATCATTCTCACTGTGAGAATGCCAGAAAGTAAAGCGAAGAAGCCTCCAGAGGCAATTTGGATATTGTATGGTTTGGCGAAGTTAATTGACTTGAGAAGCGACATAATGCCAGAACCGATGACAATATTGGCTGTTTGTTGTCCAACGCAACCGCAGGAGTTAACTACAGCCATAAATTTGCCCATATCTTGTTCTGGAACTGCCATAGCGACAATAGCGAATGGAATTGAGTTGAAAGCCATGAATGAGACACCAAGCATGGCAAACAAACAGAATAATGCGTATTTGTTTGAAATAAAATTGAAAATAATTAAACTTGCAACTTCGATGAATTGAGATGCAGCAAAGCAGGTTCTAGCACCTAACTTGCTGATTAGATATGGTTGGACGAATCCATACATAAGAGAAATTGCGTATGTGGCAGCAATACAGCCCATACCGAAATTGACGCCCTTTGTGTAGTTGTTTTTATCATCCAAGCAGCTGGAGTTGGGGTTACCGTGGAAAACTTCTCTGCCGAAGAAATCAGTTACTTCGACTAAAAATTCGAAGAAACCGCACCATGCGAGGCCAAAGCAGACGGCAGCGCGAGTAACTAGCTTTGGTGCATATCTGAATGACTTGTAAATCTCTGTCCAAAGACCCTTTTCTGTTTTTGGACCAGAATATCTAACTTCTGGGGCGAAAATAATAGTAATGAGGACTGCAATGAAAACGAGGGACATTCCAACCATGAACACGAATTGTTCATTATTGAAATGTGGAATATAATTGCCAATGTCAAAAGCACCAACTAGGTTCACAATAATAGCTCCACAGCCATTCATGATAGTTGCAATTGTGTTTGCAACGATCTGCTGGTGAACAGGAACAACATCTCCAACTAAAGATCTTGCAGGGCCTTGTAGAATGTTAAGAGCAATATTCATGATAACGAAAGCTGCTGAGAAGATGATTTGGGACCATAATAGTGCATTTGTTTTGGAAATGGCCTGTCCCATTTTTTCACAGAAATAAATCATCAAAAATCCGGAACTTGTTCCAAGTCCACCAACAATAAGATATGGTCTTCGACGACCCATTTTGGCAAATGATTGATCTGAATAGTAAGCAACGATAGGCTGTACGACCAAATCTGTGATGGGTGCGGCCCACCATACGATTGGCTTTATGTGTTCTGGAAAATTAAGACGAGACATAATTGGAGTAATCATTGCAAAATTGCATGCATATGCTAACTGATATCCAAGAAGTGCAAAAGAAATTGCAATCATTCGGAAAATCGAGAAGTCTTTCTTTTGACGGACATCTAAACTGATGCTTTCATCAAAAGAGGTTGTATCCTGGCTGCGTATTGACACTAAGCTATCTTTCGTGTCTTTATTCATGATAATGATTTAAATATATTATTTCAGATGTCGCATGTTCATATTTTTCAATAGGAATTCAAAAATTGATACCGGCAGTTAAGGGCGCACCCGTATGTACGTTTATTTGAGAGGAGGAGGATTACCCTCTCAATTTTGAGGGATTCGTTAGTTTATTTTCTCGATGAATATGCAATAAAATTTGATTTTTACCTTATCAATATACTTCATATAATATACACATGTTCATGTAAAAACTTTTTTCCAAAATCCTCAGGAATTAAGGGATTTTTGAATTTTAAGAATTTTTTTTGAATTTTTTCGAAAAAAAATATTTTCAGAACAGCCTTAACGGCTAAGATTTAGGAACAATGTTAAGTATCAAAAAGAAAGGAGGTCTGATATAGACAACACATATCGTTGAAGGTTGAAAAAATCTCTAATATTTGAGCCCAAAATTTCAAATTTTAATTTTTTGAAAAAGAGGCCACCCGTATGTACGTTTATTTGAGAGGAGGGGATTATATTTTTGAAAGGGTGAAACATTATGAATATGTTAATTATATAAATATGTATTATTATAAAAAAGAAAAAATAAAGCACGTTAAAATTTTTCTTTCTTGATTTTTTACAAAATCTACTTAGAATTATGCAAAATATGACTAAATAATTATAAATTTCAAGTTAAATTTTAATTTTGATAAATAATTTAAATTTCAAAATATCAAGTTCAGTTCGACTATGTATGTAGTAATTCCTCAATAAAGTGCCAAAACCCTATTAAAATATATGAACATTTTCAACATTTTAATGTTTTTATTTAAAAATTTGATGGAATATGAGATTCAAACAATTATTATGTAAATAAAAATAATTAAATATATGTCTTTATTCGTATTACAACCGTAGTAAGTCGATTCTTCCTTTCTTCTACTGAGTTTTGAATTTGATTTCGAATTGTAAAGAGATTCAAAGGGAAAATACTAGCGGATAAAAACTACCTCCATGAAAGGGTCATAATGGACTCAAGTTGTATTTTTTGATATTTTTTGCTTTTCGAGCCTAAATAGGTAGCCAAGATAATGCCTAAAATAAGGTTCTAAATTCTGAAGTTTACATGATCCTCTCGTGTGCACCCTTAACTGAGAAAAATGAAATAATTGTATTGACGTCATGATGATAAATAATTTTCATTTTTTCATATCGGCTAACTTCTTGGAGAACTTTATTTCTGTAAATATTTTATTGGATACTTAATGCTAATATGATTCGAGTATTTTTTAAATATTCAATGGGCGATCGTTTGATTTTGGAAAACATAGAATACTGTACTTTATCATCTACTTCAATAAATTTTTCTGGAAATTTTATATCACCCAAATTTAGGAAAATTTTTCTGTATTTGGTTGAAATATCCCTAATTGTCACATGAATAACATGCTTAAGTAGTATAGTTTCCATGAATATCCATCTAAATTAAATCGAACAAGAATCCAATACAATGACATTAGCAAAATCAATCTAAAATCTTTGATGTTATGATGGGCATTCACGTGTTGGAAAACAATACTCTTTGTGTTTCTTAAATCTCCAAATAAGGTTTGTTTCATATTTTTATTGTACTTTCAGAGTGGTATACGACTTAAGCGATCATTTTATTAGTAAATATCCATATTGTTGAATATTGCAATAACAGATTTAGATCGCTCAATGCTTTACAAATCAATAATTTTTCGAGAGAGGATAATATGTTTCTGATTCTAAATTTTAATGGACTTATATCTTAGTGAATATGAAAACAACAACAAACATCTGAAATTCGGTATAAAAAAAATTGAAGAATTTTAGAATTTATATTGAGTTCATGCTAATGAATCAGTGATGATTGGAATCAGTATGTACTATAAAAATTTAGTTGGATATCTTATCTTATGACTTATTGAAATGTTGAACTCATCAAAATATGTTCATTCAGATTCCAGACCAAGAAGAAATAATTAATCTATGGGGAAGGACTGATACTTAGCTCAAAACTCAATATTTTTAATATATTTATATACACAAATGATAAATTGGTAAAAAATAAAAAATATAAATGGCTTATTCAGATATGTAACATATATGTCTTAAACTCTACGCATTTAGATCCATTTAAATTTAGTTTTTAAGGATAATGAAATAAAAGCAAAGTAAAAGAATATCGCCAAACAAAATTAATTAAGCTTTTGTTCTGAAGAGATCATTTCCAGAATATGTCATTTCAATAACGGCCTTTCTCTGGAATAATGGGATTGTACCTCCGCCCAAGCAAATGGCGAAGATGAAGAAGACAACCATGCAAACGCAGTCGATAATCCATCCAACTGCTTGAATTGTATGGCCCTTGAAATCTGTTGTGAAGCATCTAAGGAACAAAACAAAGAACATAATGATTTTGCCCCAGAATAAGACCATAAATCCGAAGTACTTGAAGAATGCTGGACGGAATAATTCTGTAAGGATAACCATAAGTCCGAAAACACAGTTGAAGAAACCATTAACACCCATGAAAAAGTCACCATGAGCATCTATGAACCAGAAGATACCTACGACGATGGCAAAGATACCGCCAACAATGGCAATGATCTGAGCTATAATTGTTAAATCGCAAATCATTGCAATAAAAAATTACGTTCACTTCACTTTTGAAGATTTTGATTTAAGAAATAAAAAAATTTTAACTTAATTCTATTTGTGCAACTAATTTTATAGTTATGTAAATTCTGAAGATCTTAAAATTGAATTATCGAGTTCAGAAATCTTTACTTTTTATCAAATGTCTCGAATTTAAATCGGACTTTTTCTATTTGTTTGGGATGAGTAGGCGAATGAAATCTGATCAAACTTTCAAATAAAAGTCCAATTGTCATTCGGAATAAAAATATCTTCTAATCCATTTGATCGATAGGATACGTACCAAGAAATTGTCTTATGATTTAAAATTAATAGGTTTCAATTATCGAATTTTTAAAACATTCAATTTTAATTGAAATAGATTAGATTTGATCATGTATATTGACTTTTATTTTCCAAAGAAAAAAAGAATTTATTTTATTCATTTTAAAAAGGAAAAAAATATTACAGGTCAGAATCGAACTGCCTCTGATCCGTGTCAAGGATCTATTCTAACCAATATACTACTGGGACTGCGCAAATTTTTATAATATTTTTTTATGAGATTTATAAATTGATTTCTCTTTTCTCTTCGAAGAATATTTCTTCGATAATTTATTATATCTGTTTTCTGTAATATAAATGCAGTTTAGCTCTATTGTAGTCATCAAAATCACATCTGATATGAAATTTCATATCACATCATCCTCATTTTCTAATGATATTATTCATGGGGCAGTTTTCTCCATTTAAGAAAAATTTTTCATTTGTTTAAAATATCAAAACATTCATGAATAACAAATCTTAATTTAATCAAATGTTAATATATATTAGAAGACAGATCGAGACTGTTTAATGAAATGAATTAGAACAATTGCAAAAAAGTCTAAAAATTCAATTTACTATTCTTGATATCATTTAGAGTTCATTCATGTCTACTTAACCTTTTCCCAATGCTAAACCAGATTGTATTCACACATATGAGATTTTTCGCAGTCTGAGATAATATTATTAGGTGCTATATTATGTTTTATAATAACTTTTTGGTAACCACAAATACTAGCTTGAGTGTCAAAATAATTGAGAGAATGTCAAAAATGCAATAACTCAAATTTCTGGTAACTAGCTTGGAAGAGTCATTGACAATTAATTTCCTTAAGAACAAAAGTAATTAAAGGGGAAAAGATAGGCTGTCACGTGGGCGTGAATGAATCTTAAAGGTGTATTTATCGATTGTTCACTAGATTTCTTGGCAGATTTTAAAATTTTTATCTTTTTCATGAATATAAAAGCAAATTATGGCTCCGGTCCCACCAATATAAGTTTTTGATAGTATTTTTATTTTATTCCTTCAACGGTATTTCGAAGAATTAGGTTTGCAAATTCAATTATTATAATGTATTTTTTTCAAATTCAGAGAATTTTTGACATTAGAACTTTGGCAATTTTGAACAACAATTTTATATTGATGTGCATGATAAAAATTTGGATTTATACCCTATAATTTTATGAATATGGCACTTTTCGTCGATTTTCAAAGAATTAAATCGCTTCTATCTCAATAACTAATAAACATATAAGATTTTTGAAAGTATATATATAGTGTACTACATCTCAAGATATTATTAATATGTATTAGAAAGAATAATATATTGGATTTTGATATCACAAAATGACTTTTCAATTTATTGTAGTTCCTCACAGAGTTGAGATTCTACAAAATTCTTTGCAGATAATTTATGAAGGGATGATAGACTAACGAACTATAGATACATGAATTGAAAATAAAAAAATCGATTAAATATGAACCTTCATAAACCGTTTAAGAAACTTAAAAACTATTCTTTATTGTTTATTTTGGACGAAGTTTAATATGATTGTGGTTTTATTGGACAATAATCGAGTAACGGAAAAATATAACATTTATCTATAAAGTGAAAATTTAGAGGTATATTTCGTAAGATATTTCCTCTCTGATTACAAGAACTATTGTGAGCTATCAATCTAATGAAAGAGAGCAGATTTGGCCGTAATGAAAATGCAATACTTCGAAAATCAATGCAAAAAAGATTAATTTGTTAGAAACAATCGACTATGACACTGAATTCTAAGAGCAAACGTTTACATTAGGATATTTTGATCATTTCCAAATATTGCAAAATTGCATTTAAACAAGTTAAGGAGAATACTATATTAACCGTGTTGTAAGGAAATATAACAATTTTAAAGATTTTGCGACAGAATTTGAAAAAATATGAAAATCAGATATATAAAAATTGAATAAAATAACATTATGATGGAATATAAGTAGATGAGCTATTAATGCTGCTATGATTTAAAATTGAGTAGTAATGAAATAGAATTTCGATTAAAAAAATTAATGTAATCGTATGAAAGCTTTGATCCAAATAATTAATATTCGCAAATATTTTAACCTACTAATAAAATTCTGATTATATTAAGATATTTTAAAAATGAGATTCCAAATTGAATGGTGATGGAGATGAAAATTTTTAAAAATATAAATAAGAGGATAAATTGATTGAGATATTAACTAGTAAATATTTGAAAAAGTAAATTATTTGAAATCCTTTAAAAATGTTACGGATAAAAGCTATATAAATAAAATGACTGGTGTGGTTGGTTAGCTTAATGTGTAATATCAAAAAGAATTAATGGGTGTTGTTCACTGAGCAACTTTGAGAAGAATCATTTGTGATTCTTGTCAAAGTTGAATCAAAGACAACAATTGATAGACAATTGTTGTCTTTGTGTACAACATTCACTTGAATTATAAACAATAACAAGTGTTTGTTGTTCACTGAGCAACTTTGAGAAGAATCATTTGTGATTCTTGTCAAAGTTGAATCAAAGACAACAATTGATAGACAATTGTTGTCTTTGTGTACAACATTCACTTGAATTATAAACAATAACAAGTGTTTGTTGTTCACTGAGCAACTTTGAGAAGAATCATTTGTGATTCTTGTCAAAGTTGAATCAAAGACAACAATTGATAGACAATGGTTGTCTATGTGTTCGATAAACACGTGTTATTTATGAATATACACGTGTTTGTTGTTCACTGAGCAACTTTTAGAAGAATCATTTTGTAATACTTTGAAACACAAAATAGCATATTATGCTTTTATTTATCTATATGTGTCATTTTGGGAGACATTGTCTATGCAAGTCTCCCAGAATGACACATTCATACACAATCTTCTTCTGATTGTGTATCTTTTGTCAACAAAGTGCAACAGTGCACTGTTATTGTGTGCTATGTGTCATTGTGGGAGACATTGTCTATGCAAGTCTCCCAGAATGACACATTCATACACAATCTTCTTCTGATTGTGTATCTTTTGTCAACAAAGTGCAACAGTGCACTGTTATTGTGTGCTATGTGTCATTGTGGGAGACATTGTCTATGCAAGTCTCCCAGAATGACACATTCATACACAATCTTCTTCTGATTGTGTATCTTTTGTCAACAAAGTGCAACAGTGCACTGTTATTGCGTGCTATGTGTCATTGTGGGTGACATTGTCTATGCAAGTCTCCCAGAATGACACATTCTTCTCAAATGTTCTTACACTCTAATAAAACTATTCATAAATACAATTTCAATCTTATCCTCATTTTTGCAATATATATATCCCATTTATGTCATACCGTATTTCCTGACTCAAAGATTATATGCAATGACTTCGACAACTATATGGACCGTCTCAAACATATTCCAGACACAAATAATATATTGAAAGAGTTAAAAGAAAAGATACCTATAGGTAAGATGGAACGTATACCATTAGATAAGAAAAATATTGTGAGAGAGGTTTTGAAAAAAGCAGAATATATAGACTGGGATAGTATATCTGCTAGGCTATTATATAGTGGTGCTATAAGAGTTCATGACATTGAAACACTTATGTCAAAAGTTTTATATCTTAACTATACAAATGTTTTCAAAGAGGACATAGAAAAATATATTGAGGGTATAGAGTTTGTGAGATGTCATTGGACAGAGTTGTATGAAAAATATAAAGACAAGGAAAATGTTTTCTTTATAGTGGACCCGCCGTTCTATAACACATGGGATTTTCAATACCAAGTAGACTGGACTTTGAGAGACTCTTTAGAAACTTTAGACGTTATACATAACCATCCATGCTTTTACTTTACATCCGATAAAAGTGGTTTGGAAACCGTTATGAGATGGTTAGAGGACATACATGACTATGAGTTTATATATGACAAGATAGAATATGAGAGGTCCTATAAACTGGAGAAAGTGTCACAATAAAGAAATTTTATTAGTAAGTAAATGTGGTTTGAAATAGGACTACTTGTTTTAGGCTTTTTCCATTGTGTCATTTATTTATTTGACGTGGCAGAAAAGTACAGAGAATATGAAGATGAACCAATGCCTGCAAATGTTCAGCATATGTACTCGTAAGAGATATTTTTATCTAATATTAAATGGACGCACAGAACTTAGCGAATGCACAGCAACCTGGACAACCAAACCCAGAGAATATTCCAAATGAAGTTAGAATACAAACTGCAATGGCAAACTATGGTCAAGTGCCAACAGATGTACAAATGCAAACTGCCATGTCAAATGACGCTGCGTTAGGTTTGCCACCATGGTATGCAAATATGAGATGGAAAGAGTTTTATACAAACCCTGAAGTGGGATATAAACAACTTTATGCAGATGACGCGAACACGGGAGTTGACCCAGAATATTTTCTACCAGAGGAGAAACAGAATGTATGAGCTCCAGTTAAAGAATGCTATGGAACTCAACAGGAAACGTAAGAGACTAGGTGGACATTAGATTTTTACATATAGTAAAATGGGTTTCTTCAGTAGTATTGGAAACTTCTTCAGAAGAGTTGGAAGAGGTATATGGAATGGAATAAAATCTGTCGGAAGAGGAGTATGAACGGTGTCAAAAATATTGGTAAAAGAGTAGGTCAGTTCGTTGGTATTATACC